GACTGCATTAGCCTCCTAGGTGTGACTAAAGTTTAACAGAGCAGGTGTTAAGAACTCTCAATGTGCTGTTAGAGCTGATTGAAAATCAAAACTTGTATTCATGGAAGCTGTGTGAGCTACAGTCAGGAGAGGTATGGTTAGGGTTGCATACACAGAAACAAAGTGATTGAAAGAGGCACTGTCATACCATTTTCTCAATCACCTCTTCTTTCCTACTATGTCTTTCTTTTTTTAGTATTTTATTTATTTCTAACTAAAAAAATAAGACAAAGTAGGGAGCTGTCACCAGTGATAGTTGTAGGGAATTGGCTCTGTCTATGGAGGATCCTGCGGTCCTATGGAATCCTCCATAGACCTTAATGCTGCGTGAGAGTACAGCAGTGTTGTCAGCTCCTAATGCTTCAGCCAGAAAAGCATCAAAGGGGCACTATAGTAACCAAAGCAACTTTAGCTTAATGAAGAAGTTTTGATGTATAGATCATGCCCCTGTTCAATTATCTGCCATTTAGGAGATAAAGCGGTGCTGTTGCCATCTGGAGACTTTGCAGAATATGCAAAGACCCCCATTGGTGACATTGCCCATTGGGGTCTAGTGGTTGTGTGCAGGGAAAGATTATTTAAATAAATGTAAATATGCAGCTATACTTCCTGTAAACTGTCATCTAATGTTTATACTTCCTTTATTGCAAATTATGTTTAATTTATAATTTCTTATCTCTTGCTTTGTTAATAGCTTGCTACATCCTGCAGCAGCCTCCTGCATGTAATTAAAGCTCACTTTATAGAGCAGGAGACAAACATGTTTAAAGGGAGTTAAATCTGATTGAAAATTAAAACTTTTTGTTTCCATGAAGGCGGTGTCAGTCACAGCCAGGGAAGGTATGGCTAGAGCTGCATAAACAGAAACAAAAGTGATTTAACTCCTAAATAGGAGATAATTGAGCCGTGAAACTTCAGAGGGATGATCTACACAAAAACTGCTTCATTAAGCTAAAATTGTTTTGGTGACTATAGTGCCCCTTTAAGTTTGCCATACACAAGATAGAGGTGACCCATTCTTATTTTATTGCTTTATATTCACAATGCATTAAATGATATATGCAAAAAGTAACACGTTAAAAATAATATAATAAATAATAAGATATATTAATCTGTCGTTCCTGCATTGGGTGCAAATCTCCAGCATTTTGCTGTAGATAGGTCATAAGATTATGTGAAACAGTATTTTAGTAGCAAAAATTGAAACTTTGCAGGTTTTGAAGGTGGGTCCATCAAGGTGGAATTATGGAGCTAAGCTGAATTAAATACAAAGATTAACCTAATCACTAATTAGATTTTTCCTTTTGCCTGCCCATTTTCTTTCATTTGTTCCTGGCTCAGGACAGCAACTTGTCTATCTTAAACTTGCTTGAATTCTTCTACTACACTAGTCTCTATCACCTTAGAAAAATTTATATATAAAAACGGATAAAATAAAAGATTCAGCAGGTCTTCTACTTTTAGGTCACATTGGCTAAAAATCTACTAAAGGTTGACAGAGGCAAAGTGTTTGTCCCTTGGAAACCGCTTCATCAGCAGATTGCATGTCTGGTCGACGTCTTCTTTACCATTGGCTACAAATGACAAACGGCCCTTTCCCAAGACATCAGCGCTTCTATTTTTATTTCCACTGAACAGGAGTAGAACCTACAAATGCATAGCAAAGTTCAGAAACATCAGCAAGTCTAAGAGCTTCAGCTGTTACTAAATCTATCCCATTGTTCCTATCAGTATAAACAGCAATGTGAAATCGGAAAGCATTACATTCAAAAGAGCAAAATCATCATTTCTGTACAGCCAATAACTGGTTCATAACGTTATATGCAAGCAGTAAAATCTCAATAATTGTGCGACAATCTGGTCTGCCAAAATGTATTACCTTGGAATATCTATCCCTCTCCTCTTAAAGCTTTCTCTCCAAATGTAAACTAAACTCTAACCAGGAGTTAATTGGATGATTAATGACAGTATGTATGTAACAGGCAGCTACTATATGTATATCATTCGCTCTCTCGTTGTTCAAAACAGGTTTTCAGAATATATTTGATGCACATACATAATATTAATGGAGATTCGTAGTAACCTTTCAGTCCCACATTAAGGAATTGCTAACACAGCAATATTAATGTTGTCAGATGTGGAAAGAGCATGTTATCGTACAGTAGGAGGCCACAGTTTCTTTTCTGATGTATGTTTTTAAGAGACGTCGATGTCTTTTCTAGATGTTGAAGCCATTAATCTAATGGAAACCTGTAAATGTTATTCATTAAAAAGGACACGGGTACACAACAAATGGGACAAAAACAGTAAAACTTAATACATAAATATGTTGATGTTTTTTTTTTGCTTAGTAGATAAGTCGCTAATTTGGTACCCTTAATTATGGCTATTGGACGTAAGGACACCATATTAGGGAACTATCTACTAAAAAGCTAACAGAGCAAATTTAAGAAGAGCCATTTTCTTAATTTTGCTCTTTCAGTTGCAATGCTTAATAGAGAAGTCCCTAATTTGGGACTGTTAATTATGGCAATCCCAAGGTTGCCAAAGATACCAAATTGTGAAGCCTATTACTAATTGAAAGCCACTTTCCTAATTTTGTTCTCTGAATTGCTTAGTAAAAGGCTAATCACTTATGTCCTTAATTTGCCAACCTTAATTATGGCAATCCCACATAAGGATACCAAATTAGGGAGCTATATAATAAAGAGCAGAAAGAGCAAATTGAAGAAAAGCCCTCTTCTAATTCATGAATTTCGGAAATTAACAAAGTTTTCCAACACAATCTTTATTTCACCATATCGATTTCACAAACCAAAATGTAAAAATTTAGGAATTGAAACAAGGTTTTCATCTATGCACATGCCTACTATTTGGAGTGCTATCAGCAATACTGTCTACAACAAACCTCTATAGTGGGTCTTCCAAAAATAATATTGCATAATCCTTTTAGCAAGCAAAATGAGTAGTGTCTCCTTAAAGGGGCATTATAATGTCAGGAACACAAACGTGTATACCTAAAACTGTGGTTCCCAAACCATTGTTTAGTTTGTCAGCCCCTCCTTACCTCTGGTTAGAAAAATCAGTCACTCGCCTTTTTCCAGGTCTGTGTGGGGCTCCTTGCGTCTGGCCTCACCCATGATCCACCTTCTTAGGAAAGCATTGGATTGGCTGAGATTGTTAATTCTGATGATTTTAGCCAAGGAGGTGGGGATGGGGGGGATGAAGCCAAATGCCGCCCTGGCAATTAGTATTCACTTATAGAGATGCATTGAATCAATGCATCTCTATGGAGAAAATTCAGTGTCTCCATGCAGAGTTTCAGTAAATGTCAGTCTGAGGAGTGGCCACTAGAGGTGTTCCTAGGCTGTAATGTAAAATCTGCCTTTTCTCTAAAAAGGCATTGTTTATATTAAAAAACCTACAGGGACAAGGTATTGACACCAGAACAACTACAATAAGCTGTAGTTCTGGTAATTACAGTGTCCCTTTAACTAAAGGAGACAGCACTATGTTCAATTTACAAAATTTCTTTTTAATAATGCAAGTGCAAGTATGCATGTCTGGAGACTAGCTCACAGCAAACCTGTTGGCCTATTGCCTCCTCCGATAATCCTTTAGGAATACGTGGTCTGATCCATTCAAGTAGAGTGATGGAACAAGACTCATACAAACAGAAATCCTGCCCTACGCATTTCACGACTGACTGACACTTCATCAGCCCCTTTAGTTGATGTAGTTGTGTCTAAATTATCATAGTGAAAACTATGATTTAAAAAAACAAATAAATACAATTTAGTCATACCAAGAAAAATAACATGTAAAAAGTCTGAGCTACAGTATTTATTTACCTTCTTGTCGCACCAAATACATACTGGACTTGTGCATTCAATTTTGGCTGAATTGTAATTTGTGTGAATTTAGGCTGATCAGCTGTTTAACTGAATTCTGTAATTCAGACGAATGACTATTGCGATGACTTAAGTTTGTTTGACTTGACATTCAGATTTCCGCCCGTGATACCAAAAGAAGAGATTATTCATGGGAAATAGAAGATTATTGATGGTTAGGGGACAAACAATAAATTATGATTTTATTCACAGATCATGTGAGAAGTGACTAACAGAGTAAAAAAAAAAGAAACAGCAAAAACAATTCTATAGTTATATATTTTGAAAATATATATAATTATAAACTGTTTTTTTACTGCACCTCCTCTCTTTCCATCTATTGGTTACTTTTTCACAATTAATCTGTGAACCAAATGGCAGGAAAATATGCAACTGCAATATGTACGCATGGTATTTATTACGTATATATTTTGCAAGACACTGATTGGCCCATTTTCGCTCCCTTTTTTGTGTGTCGGAATTATTTTCTTAAATGTTTTTCATGCATAAAATTTGGAGAAGCCAAGTCTTTACATAACGAGTGTTGGAGGTCCTAAACTAAATGCAATTTAAAAAAAAATAAAATGGTTTGACTGAACCACATTTTTTGCCGTGCACAAGTCTAGTACATATGTGGTGGTGGAATCATATATGTGTTAGTGCATGTGATAAGGAGCAAAGAATTGGCGACGTCTGATCCTATGATTTAATAAAACATGCCCTCTATTACATTGGACGTTTTATATGACCATGCAGCTCTTGTAAGCATTAAACCAGGTTGCTTAAAATATATATGTTCTACCATTAAATACCAACACATCTAATTACAAGAAAGTATAATAAGGAAACAAAGCAAAACACAATCTCTGAAAAGACTAATGGTGCTATTTATCAAAATAAACACTGCTGTGTAAAGCAATCCATCTCTAACTAAGTGTTTATACTAAAGGCTAATTATTAAAGCAGCTACAGCTACTTAGTAAATAGACACAGGCTGTAGGATCTCAACAGTGCAACATGTTTTAGTTCTAAAATTAATACTCTGTCTGTGTAGATCGGGCTCCCCCAAACTCCAGCCCTCCAGATGTTGCTGAACTACAACTCCCATGATTCTATGAATGCAATAGACAGGCTGAGAATCATGGGAGTTGTAGTACAGCAACATCTGGAGGGCTGGAGTAGATTGTCTGCAGCAGAGCTAGGCAACCTTCGGTGTTGTGGACTACATCTCCCATAATGCTCTCACAGCCATAATGCTGACAAAGCGTCGGGGAGTGATGTAGTCCATAACATCTGGAGTGCCGAAGGTTGCCTAGCCCTGGTCTACAGTATGATCCATATAAAGAATATTAGGTGCAGAGTAACCCAGTTATCCTTGAAAACACACGCAGTGCACTCATTATTATCATATATTTTTTTATAAAGAAATTAAAAACGGTTGCTCTGTAAACGGTGAAATGAGCTTGCAATCGAGAGACACTGCACATGTGGTGTAAAAAACAAACCTGTAGTCAAATGTCAGCCAACAACTCAGTAAGATTTTCCACATTTTCAAATCGAACAACTGATGATGTTCTGGTATCATCCCCCATAATCAGAGTGTATCACGCTCTAAAGAAGGGTTGCGTTTTCTGAGTGCCCTGAATTATATATTTTACATCTCGTTTGAGCAGGGCCCTCAACATCCCCTTGTTCCTGCGCATCCAACTTGTCTTGTTGCAAATATTTATCTGTTAGTCCACCTTCTGTATAGCGACGTGGAATTTCTGGGTGCTTTATAAATAATAATAATATCTGCATATATTGTTTGAACACACTAACTCTTACACCTACTGGTAATGGGAATAGGTTATTTTCTACAAACAATGGTGTCCAAAGCAACCCCAATGGTTTTTTTAATGGAATCTGTGAATGGTTTAATTTGAATTTACTGGAATTTTTGTTTGAGCAAAAAAATGTAAGGGCATTTATATCTGTCTATACAACTAGACTCTATGCTGCATTGTGATTGGCTGGTTAAATGGACACTATAGGCACCCAGACCACTTCAACTCATTAAAGTGGTCAGGGTGCAGTGCTCCTGTCTCCCTTACCCTGCAATGTTAATTATTGCAGTTATTGATGAACTGCAATAATCACCTTGCAGAGTTTTTCCACCTCTAGTGGCTGTCTAATAGATGTTTCTGGGTCCTTAGTGGACTTTTGGTTTGACATCCTCACGCTTTGCATGAGTGAAAACAAGGTTTGGTTAAAACCCTGTTTGGAAAATCAATAATTTAATGCTGTCCTATGGGGAAGTCCTATACACATTACCCCCCATACCCCCTCCTGGCTGATGGGGGAGAAGTAGTAAAGGCAGAGTCCAAGCCAGCGCCGATGTCACAGGTAAGTGACAAAATGATTGTTAACCCTTTGGGGGGCAAGAGAGAGGGGGGCACTATAGTGCTAGGAATACAACTTTGTGTTTGTAGCACTTTAGTTTACTTTTCAGAACCATTCAGAACCATTTTAATAAACTATTAAGACCCCATTCAAAATGAAATCAAGGGGAACTTAGAAAAGCTCAGGGAAGATAATTCATAATTGTTCAAGATTTCTTAACAATACATTTTCACTTATCTAACCCGTGTGTAGTCTTACCACCTTTTTTGTTTTTTATCTGCATGTGAGATCAACCATTGGGTAGTGTGCAGCATTCATATTGTACGCCATATGTGTATCAACTAATTAATAATTAAGTTCTTATGGGATCTTAACTGTGATTAACTAATTGATTTCCCTTTGTGGTGCCAGGTGGCATTTTATATGCAAATATTCTTTATCCCACTGGCAGCATGTGGTATTTATGTGTCTTGGTATGTGGCCAAAGTGGCAGCTAGGGAATCTCCTAGCAGCATTTTTAGCATATTTACTGCCTATAATTCAATAATCTTGCAAAATGTTTGTTAGCAAATTTCATCCCAATGAACTGGTGTACACTACCCAAATAATTCCTCTAAAAAAATAAAAAAAATAGCACATTGCACTGATCAGTCAAAACATTAAAACCACTGGCCAGGGCCCGTGCAAGGATTCTTGCCACCTTAGGCAACAATCCATTTTGCTGCCCCCTCATGAAGGCAACTACATACTCTCACAGGTTTATTCACTAAATTCTGAATTGCAGTTAGGAGACATTTAGGGAAGAAAACACCCTGCATAGAAACACTCATGCAGTAAATGCATCCATATACACACACTGCCTAATACACCCATCCACACAGACTGCCTATTACATACAATCAACCATACGTACACAGCGCAATACATAAATACACACACACACACACCCCGCCTAATACATATATTCATACACTTATACTGCCTAATACATACATCAATACACATGTACTGCCTAATGCATACATCAATAGACACATATTGCCCAATACATATATCCACACACTCTTTTTCAATGCATTTGGTAGTATTTAATTTATAATAATGTTGGGATCTAATTTATGTTACAGTGAACGTTAAGGAAAAACGCTTTCGGTTTAATATAGAATTCTAATAATATATATTATAAATATAATTTAATATATAAGTATCTATTTACATGGTCACACACACTAGCACACACACACTCACAGACATACACACACTCTCACTGGCATATGTACAAAGTGTCACTTACACATTTTCACTAACACACTCTCTCACTGACATACCATGTCACTTATTCGCCTAATGGTAGTGCCGGCCCTGTCACTGGCAGGTGACGTGAATAACATGGAATATATATCGTTACAATAGCACCTGTCATTGGGTGGGATATATTAGGCAGAAAGTGAACAGTTAGTTCTTGAATTTCATGTGTTGGAATCAGGAAAAGCAGGCAAGCAAAAAGATTTGAGTGACTTTTACATAGTTACATAGTTACATAGTTACATAGCTGAAAAGAGACTTGCGTCCATCAAGTTCAGCCTACCTCACATTTGTTTTTTGCTGTTGATCCAAAATAAGGTAAAAAAACCCAGTTTGAAGCACTTCCAATTTTGCAACAAGCTAGGAAAACAATTCCTTCTTGACCTCAGAATGGCAGTCAGATTTATCCTTGGATCAAGCAGTTATTACCCTACATTGAAAGATTATATCCTTGAATATTCTGTTTTTGCAAGTATGCGAGGACAAGGACCTAAAATTGAAGGTTAGACGACTGAGAGCAGAGCATCTCCCAAATGACAAGTCTTGTGGGGTGTTCCTGGTATGCAGTGGTACCAAAAGTGGTGCAAGAAAGGACAACTGGTGGACCGGTGTCAGGGTCATGCGCTTCCAAGGCTCATTGATGCACGTGGGGAGCAAAGGCTGGACTCATCACACAGATGAGCTACTGTAGCTCAAATTGCTGAAAAACTTAAAGCTTGTCATTAAAGAAAGGTGTCAGAACATGCAGTGCATCACAGTTTGCTGGGTATAGGGCTGCATAGCTGCAGATCGGTCAGGGTGCCCTGGATGAACACTGTCCTCTGCCAAAAGTGCCCTCATTGGGGATGTGAGTGTCAGAATATGGCAACTGGTGCAATGGAAGAAGACTGACTTGTCTGATGAGTCATGTTTTCTTTTAGATCAGGTGGATGGCAGGTGCATGTGCATCATTTACCTGGGAAAGATATGGCAGCAGGATGCACTATGGGAAGAAGACAGGCCAGCTGAGGCAGTGTTATTCTTTAGGCAATATTCTGCTGGGAAACCTTGAATCCTGACATTCATGCGGATTTTACTCTGATGTGTACAACCTACCTAGAGATTGTTGCACACTACGTATACCACTTTATGGCAATGATGTTCCCTGATGGCAGTGGTTTATTTCAGCAGGATAATGCACCCTACACACTGCACACATTGTTCAGGAATTGTTTAAGGAACATGAGAAAGAGTTCAAGGTTTTGCCTTGGCCTCCAAATTCCCCATCTGATTGAGCATCTGTGGGATGTGATGGAATAACAAATCCGATCCATGGAGACCCCAGATTGCAACTGGCAGGACTTATAGGATCTGCTTCTAATGTCTTGGTGCCAGATACCACAGGACATGTTCAAATGTCTTGTGAAGTCTAAGTCTCAATGCATCAGAACTATTTTGGCTGCATGATGGGTGACCTACACAATATTAGGCAGGTTGTTTTAATGTTGTGGCTTATCAGTGTATTGCATACCTGGCAATCAAAATACAGGAAGCTGAAACAAAACAAAACCAAAACTAAAGTGTACATTTTTTATACTTCCTTTTCATTTTCCACATGGATGAAATAATAGGACAGGAGCCCTGGTAACTCAAATAATACTTTGACTGTGAGGGTCTGCCAGGACAGACTGGTTTAAGTGTAGGACAGTGGGATGTAACAGGTGATAAAATATATTTAAATGATTTTTTCTAGGAATTTTTAAGCCTTATGGTTTCTGTCCACTATAGACATTGTTTTATAATATAAGTGATATGTAAATTGATTTTTTTTTTAAATGAAAGGAACTGTACATAATGATTTTTTAATGTGCTATACAGACAATGCCTTAAAAGTATGTGAAAAAAAAACACAAATCAAAAAAGAAAAAAAAAAAAATTGAAAAAGCTATTCAAATTTGAAGTTTCTGCATTTGCTGTAAATACACACACTTAGGATGTAAAACATGATGTAATAAAAAGGTTAATAAAAAAAACATGAATAATAGTAATAAAACAGGTAGTATACTGTGAGGAAAAATATGCACACTAAAATATGATGTGGACACATGACTTGATTTTCACCTTTTTACCTTTCTGAGAATTATTCTGCTTAAATCTTGGCTCCATAAAATCCTAGCATTCTGTACTGTCATTCTGTTTCGGACTCTAATGCCTCGTGATGACAATGAATAACCCTTTATATTCCTTTAGAGACCAAGGTTTTTGTAAGATTCTGTAAGATCATGTGTTCATCTTACTGTAGTTCAATGCTTTATATTTAAACCCTTAAGGACGGAGGCAATTGTACAAGTTCTAATGAAAACAAAACCTATGATTTGAGCTATATGTTTGTTCAACCATAATTTACCTCGTTCATATTCAGTGCACCCACACTTATTATATAATTTTATTCAGGATAAATAAGGCTTTCATTTCACATCAGATATTTATATATGAACACAATTTAATATGAATGA